TGCAGTAACCCAATGGATTTTACGTTACCGCCAAAAGTCAATTACCTATTATTCGGTTATATACTTCACAGTGCAAGGTTATTGTCCACGTTACCTGTAAAGGTTGGTATATTTGTGTGCTAATTCATGAGTGCTAAATAAACTTTCTACAATAGGTTCGGGTGTCCCGTCAGATTACTCACGCCAGGCTTAGGTAGTCGGAGTGCCCTAATCAGTCGGTTTTGTGCACAAATTTTGGCTTGGCAAACGACTGCTATGGGTAGTATTCACACCCAAGCCGCGTTCGATACCCTCCCAATCAAGCCTGTGACTACCGGGTCGCGGATAGGAGAAAAGTTACGTATAAAGGTAACTACAAATAGTTCTATAAGCGGTCGCGGACGATCAGCGACGATACCCGAGAACGTCTCGTATCTTGCTTGGCGAGTGATCTCACTGAAGCAAAAAAAACCCCATAAAAAGCATCATGGCTAGTACGAATCTGGCTCACCACTAAACAGAGCTATGCAAGATCAAAAAGCGCACCCTCGAATATAAAAGTCGAGTTGTATTAGGACTCCTTTTTCACTGTATTCCCTAAAGAAAAAACTGGTCTGTTTTGAATGCGGCAAATGTAGAATTCAAAAACTAGTCTTTTAATGTGTGCACCAGCTTTAAATGGACTCTGATGACAACAGCTTCTTAGGACAATCAACCTGTTTCCTTTGGCGGATTGGCCGGATGTGCCGTTCAATCTACCTTGGATAGCTATTTTCTGGAGGAATTTAACCTCTCCTCGAGCTCAATATACCATGCGTACTCCGAACGCCAAACGCTACGGAACGAACCTATGAAATTTGGTGCACTGTTCTTCTCGCGTTTTCCACTGTAGATCCGTCTGCGTAAAATCATCTTTCCCATGACACCAATACTTCAAAAAGTCTGTCGGTTTATACCACGGTTAATTGTAGCGAGTTGTGTGCAGTTCTAAACGTTACAACCACGAAATAATGACATACGACCCAACCAGTGGCTAGCACTGTAAGCATTCTTTTTCTATTCGTGATTTGTATGTGCATAGGTAAATGTAATCAAAACTTTTTTCGCTGTAAACCATATTTTTACCACAGGAATATTTCCACTCTCTCAACTAATAAATTTACACACTAACTAAATAATTTCGTTTATTTCCTTCGCAGAACTCAACAAGCTTTTATATTGCAAAAGCAAAAGAAGGAGGATGCTGCCAACCAGATCTATCAATCCGTCGCTCGCATTCGGTATGTATTTCTATGTACAAGCTTTTCTCATAGATGTATGAGGTTGATTTTACTTTTACCGGCAGAAAGGTGCAAGGGAGGAGTTACCAGCCGCAAACGGAGACACCCGCCCCCGACCATATATCATTTTTTTATTACACGAAAGTGAATACAGTAAAAGGGGTAAATCCCATGATCCGAAGATATACTGTAAGTGGGAAGGTGTGTGAAACATTCAAGCTAGAGCCAGCTTGTTGATTCTGCGTTTAAAAATATGGATGTTGTATGTTGGAGGGAAGACCGAAAGGGGGAGAGTGTTCCACAGTTTTGCTGTTCTTGGGAAAAAAGATGATTGAAAGTTAGAAATGCGACACCTAGGGATAGTTACTTGAAATGGGTGACTAGCCGCTTGTGCGCCGGATCTGCGAGGAAGAACAAGTGGGAGAGGGACAGATGCGGAAAGTTCATCAGAGCAGAAACCAAAGTAATATCGATAGAACAAGGATAAAGAAGCGACTGCCCGACGGTGAGCTAGTGACTGCAGGTTTGATGTTAGGGACGGGTCGTTGATGAGACGGATGGCCTTGCGTTGAACCCGATCAAGAAGAGATAGTGAGGTAGACGAAGCTCCACCCCACACATGACTGCAGTATTCAAGTGTAGGGCGAATCTGAGCTTTGTATCATATCATATCATATATATAGCTTGAAACATGAACATAAAAGCTTTTGACATTTTATGTTGTATGTGTACGATATAGCCAAATCAATTATTTCGAGGTTGTTACGAACATTATACTTCGCTTTTCTCAGCACTAACCTCCAAGGTTACAATTCGGCTGGGACCGTTTTGAACCTGTTTTTGTTTCAGTTCTTACATTCGTCAGCCATGCACTTTCGTGAGCCGGTTTTGGTTGCTGTCTCATCACTGCCCATTTAAATAAAAGAGTAGAAGAAAGGATGGAATGTTGCGAACAGAGTCAGAGAGATAGTCAATTTACATGGACTACGGTTGCAACAAAAATGAGTGGATGCAGGAGCGCCACTGTTTGCGACAATCAGCCATATCACTAGGTGTTTCTAACTCCCCGTTACAATGATCGTGGTCTGAGTTTGACCACCCCTTATTTTTGTCCACTTGCCTGCACGGCAAGCCGTGTCAGTCTGTTTGGTGAAATGCGTAACGCTCCAACCGACGTTATACATGGGAGTTGACCATTTGCTCCATTGAACGATCGCGATTACCTAAAACTGTGCGCCTAACCTAACTACTTGTTGCATGAGAGCAGTGGAGCATTTAATTCGATTGAACAGGCGAAGTATGCACTAAAAAACTACGATGCACTGTGAAACTGCTCCGATCTTTTTGGGTCCTATCAGCTGTGCGAATCCATCCACTGGACTAAGGATCAAACCCGATACTTCGCAGTTAGAACGCAAGCATGCTGCTCATTTGATTACTAGGCTGCTGAGCAGACGACTTCATTTCGTCTACATCGTATTTTAGTGAATTAAAACTGTACGATCAGCTGCTCGGTGGTCTCGGGTTTAATTAGCATATCGATTGATTCGCACTGCTGATGAAATCTAAAAAGATACACTGCTTCCGGACTTTTCATTTTCATTTTATTCGCTTTAAATGCCAAATTCTTCAGAACTGGGTCTTGCACGGTCTAAAATTGGACCTCTCAGCACCAATATTAGTCAGGCACTAAAAGGTCGTTCAATCCTTCATTGTTAGTGTTAATCATTCTTGAATGCAGTTGAATAAATGCTTTGTCATATTTATGAAAACAGCGTCACTATTCAGTGCTATTTTTCTCACAGCGGATTAATTCTTTTCAGGAATCACGTTTATTTATTTATTAATTTCTGTCTCATTTGTCCCGCTCCTCAATTTATATTTTGCTTACGTACTAGAACGGCCGATCCGGCACTGTTGGCCGTGGCTGCGAACAATATTGTGTGCATCAATAAAGAACAGAACATTTTCGACAGTCGTAAAAGGATTAAAACGGCCTCAGTTGATGGATTACAACACAAGCTTTTCACCAAACAACGTGAACAAATCCTGATTAATCAAGGATTATTTCACTGGCATACTAATCAGGTTGGTTTCTCTGTATGATTTGAATTAATAAATAGGATTTGGTATCAATAATCTTTCCAATTTTCTCTCAGAATATCAACATGCACAATTGCTACTTCACCTTCGAGTTTATTTTACCTTGCTGTTGCTTCCCCATTCTGTTCACACAACTTAGAAAATCAAACCTAGCGAGGCCTTGTGTGACTCGTGACTCCAAATCCAGCGGCTTAGGTTGCCGGTTTCCATCACTGAACAACGGGTCTTCCTGACTGTCGGGTTCATCCCGTCTGCTGTTCACTACACGGGCGTGTAATAAAAAAGTAGGACCAAACCCAGTGTTTATAAAGTTGAAATGCCGTTTATCTACGGAGAGAATTGCTAGACTTATCATTTACAGATTTGAAATTCTCGATAGAAAGAGTTTACCGCGACCTACACTGTTAGACTTGTGTTGACCCACAGAAATCCCTAACATGTCTAGTGCCACACAGTCCCCTATTTATCTCCGGGGAAAAATAATGGTCGGTTTTGGTAAAACTAAAATTGGACACCAACAATACTGGCTAACTTGAGAACTCAGAGTTGACGAAAAACTAGTGGTCTGCAAGGTGCACGAGAAACAGTAATGGGATAATTTCGTCCAACAATGTATCTGCATATCTTGGATGAAATGGTTGTCAAAAGAAGCTAAAAGTAGATGGAACATCGCATTCTCTGCGCAGAAAACCGATTTATCGGTCATTTTTAGAAATTATGCGTCACCAAAAGAGGCTAGCTGCGTATGTTATTTCGAGTTTTAATGATTTTATGTCGCCTCATCTTGTAGATACTAAATTTTTCGAATGAAACTGCTTGCACAATTGGGATGGGATACGTCCTTTTTATTAGTGGATTATCAATAGATATATCGCTTATTTACTCCAAGTCAGATAGGGTTTTTTAATTACACCTTCGTGTGATGAACAGCAAACGGTAAACCGCGTAGTCGCGAAGACCTGTTCAGTGATGGAAACGGAGACTTGGATTGGCGAACCACATAAGGCCCCGCTAGGTTGTGTGGTGTTGAACCGGATAACAGCAAAGCTGTCTACGACCGTCGCTAAACGGTACTCAACCATAATTGGTGATCAACTGTGCAACGATTCGTTTGTTTTACTTAGTTAAATATGTGCGCTATATTTTTTCGAAAACCTGACCAAATTTCTAGGGTGAAATAAACTGTAGCCTCACTTTTACTATGATTGGTGTCTTAACTACATGCTACCTACATCTTCCTTTCCATCCAGTTTTACTCCCTACGGATTGTACACTCGTTAAACCTTTCGAATGCTTGCACCTCTACGTTCATGTGTTCTTATTTACGACTTCCAGGTTGATGCATGTCACGTCAAGGTTCGAGACGTGTTGCATCAGAATCCGCGTTCCGTTCGCGCGCTGTTACTGCAAGTCACTCAAATGCTTAAAGAGAAACAGAGCGAGCGTGCGCTCAAAGTGTTACAGGTGAGCATCATTTGATCTCATGTTTTCACCCTTTTATGCTACCTGATTTTTACCACTTCTTCAACTTATATGCACCTCACGATCAGTCTGATCCAATCAAGCGCTCGTGTCTATTTTAATTAAAAAACCTGGTTTGTGGTATCATTTCACGTAAGAAGGTAGCATTTTAATTTTTCCTTTTCGTTTATTTAATGTATAATTGTATGGTTAATGTTTAGAAAGCGGCTACGGCAGATCAGAGGCTTGGGGACATACAGAATTGAAGTAGATAAGCGACGATGGCGCTATTGGAACACGGGATTACCGGACTACCATTAAAATGACCACCTGCTTCTCCACCACCACCCAAAACTGGACGTGTTGGTGGCAGATTGGAGTCGCTTAGGTGGGATCTGGTAGGTGCCAGCTGTAAATCAGGAATGTTCGCATGGAAACCCTTCTTGTTCGTCTAGCTTCATTGGTTCTGTATTGTCGTATTCTAACCTGCAGCAACGTTCGTGGGTAGGAGCTCTTTCCATAAAAACGGATATGAGTGCTATTGTTTGTAGCTTGGACTGCAAATAGATTTACCGAATTCCATTGTAGTTGTGATGGTGAACAAACCCGCTATGTATCTGTGTGGATTAAGAAACGCGGTAAAACTAAACCACAATGCAACCTCCAAAAGCCTCAGTATAATCGGGGGTGGGTGTCTAGGGTTGCGGCTGGTCACCCTGTCCCTGCACCTCTCGACATGCTTCCATACGACCAAGCGTCTCAAATAGCCTCTGCTGAAGAAGCCCTACTCACTGCCTTCCGGCGGCGGAGGTGTTTTCCTACCAAAGTGAGAGGACGAAAAGCCGATATCCGGGGCTATAGCCGGGTTGGTGGAGCACTGGCAGTTCACCTAGTGTGGAATATATATATAGAATGCAACCTAGCGGGCCCTTGGGTGGTTCGCCACTCCAGGTCCTGGGGCTTAGGTTGCTGGTTACTATCACTGAACAGCAGGTTTTCGTGACTGGAATTCGCCCCGTCTTCTGTCCATTGCACACCCACCCACCCCACACACTGGTGTGTAATAAAAAAAGGGAATTGGTTACCAGTGTATTGATGCCTTTTATATCGAAATTTGTGGCTGACAGCCGTCCTACAAACTACTCAACGCATTCGATTGATCTGATGCACGACCGAGATTTGACTACGACCGAACCGCACAGCATCCGGCGAGCATAAATTTATGATAATGGAACCACTGTACCTGGTCGAAGGCTAACCATTTGTGGCCGGCACCTTGACTATTCTTAATGAATCCATTTTNTCCATTTTCTATCAACAAACAATTTACCTTGAGAATGACAATCATCCAAATTTCCCTTAACTGGGCCTACAGCTGAGTGATACCGGACTCGGCTCCAGGTCGTAGACGAGAAAATAGCCATTCCGATTGTTAGCCGTGAATAAGGAAGTTCCGTCAAACCAACAAGCGGTTCCGAGCGATCAATGGCAGTGTTCAAGGACGACAGATTACAGCCTGACCACAAATCTCCACCCTCTGACAGCTGCTAGAGCATAGTGGTGCCTGTCTTTAGAAATCCGTGCGGCCTTCGACTCTGTCGATAGGACCACGCAATGGAACTGCTTGCAGAGGAATGGAGTACCTGAGAAGTATGTCTCGATCCTCAAAGAGTTGTATCGTCATACCTCAGGTCGGGTTAGGGCCAGTGGCCAGCTTTGGCCACCCTTTGTTGTCTCCATTAGAGTTCGACAAGGTTGCCCTATATCTCTATTTCTTCTCAACTTTTTCATAGAATATGTTGTACAGAATGCTTCTTCCGGTCTAGCAAATGGTAGAATTGAACTTCGCCAAAGGAACAGAGTCTTCGACTTAGAGTATGTCGATGAAATCGCTTTGCTGTGTAATAACACACAGGCAGTCCAACACGCTTTGAACTGCCTGTCGATAGTTGTATCCAGGTATGGTGTTCTTTGCGCCGTCCAAATGCAACGTGCTTGTTCAAGACTGGCCGGATCCTGTCCATGCACTCACCCTCTATTGTGATCAACTGGAAGTGATGGAGAGCTTTAGGTACTTCGGAAACTCGATCACGGCTGGTTTTGGTGCTGGAGAGGAAATCAAATAATGAATGGCGAAAACTAGAGCAGCTTTTGACAATTTGCGACACCTGTGACACCGCCATGACATCCGTTTGCCCCTCAAGGGAAGGGCGTACATCGCTGCGGCTCATAGTGTTCTGCTTTCTGGTTGCCAGACCTGGCCTGCGGGCGGAAGATGCTAATCGACTTTCTGTATTCGCCAACTGATGTCTCCGAAGCATTGCTCGTGTCTGGCGGGAACATCGTGTGAGGATTAGTGATGTTCATCGTCGTGTGTTGGGTGCGAACAGTTCTTTAAAAGAAGTAATCGCCCTACATCGCCTCCGATGGCTTGTTCACGTTTTGATTATGCCTGCCTATCGACTACCTTTCCGTGGTCTCTTTGCACGTGCCGGACAAGGCTGGAAGAAGCGCCGCGGCGGTCAGACCATGACATGGTGTAGAGATATGAAAATCCTTGGCTTCGGTTTTTGCAGCCCGCGTTCCAGATTGGGGCCCAAGGGATGAGAATTGTCGTTGGTTAGAGACCCTAAGAGATATGGCCCAGAATAGAAGTCAGTGGCGCGAATGCTGTATGGTCTGTCCGTTGATATCCTGTTCCCCGTAGAAAAACAATAAACTAAAACACCAAATGACGGTGATTATTCCCGTTATTCACCTTAATTGTTTGACCTTCTTTTACTCTGTTTTGTATCTGGACCCCTCATGTTTTGTTGTTCTTGTTGCGTCAAGCTTGCTCGCAAGTCGGTGATAAATAAATCCCCGTGCAAACTTGGAAATTTGATGCCCCTCCACCTCTCGCCATTTCAGTTTCCGCTTTCCATAAATGAACAATGGGTTCTCTTGACCAGGGGATTTAACCCACCTGCTGTTCATCACTCAAGGATATCCGAATTAATCCGAACTCTCGCATCAGAGAGTCGAATAACATATATCCGGTACATCACTCACGGCAAATGAGTGCTGCGTGTATTGTTGACTCACAGAAAACTACTGAAGGTCGTCCGGAAAAGCCCGTCGACCTTTCAACCTCATGTATGGGTTTGAATTTGCACGGATTTGGTGGAACTGCCTATGATGATTTACAAAGACAGCTATACATACTGCGCTTCGATACTTGTCGCTACTAATTGATACATCGCTGAATCATCCATCTTCCATGTGTAAAACTCAAATTGTTTTGCATCTATCGTATTCTATTGTTTGTAAGTATTTTTCAGTTCATTGTGCCACAAATAAATCATGGTAACCATCACGGTCTTGTCGGCTCCATTCAGACGAGAGAGAGGGAGCTGGAGTTCGTCGTCTGTGAGGTAGAAACGCAGCTGTTAAGGGAGATAGGGCGAGACTCGATTCCAAACAAGTCATTCATCACTATCATTCCCTTCGGACCATTTGTGATCTCAATGATGACTCTGTCAACATTTTGTGTGATTCGCTTTCATTCATTCATATTTTCACTCTTGAATATTACCACTCTTATCAGTTGCTGTCATCAACTTGAACAGTACTGTATTGTAATAAGTTGAAATTAGAGCTAGCTTCCATAAGGGATATACGTTGATATCTTGGTAAAAATATACCCTATTAGGCGTACATGTTCCGAGATAATTTCCGCAGTGGGTTTTCTTGCTGTATTATACGGCACATCGTGAAAAATCACTCGTCTGTTGACTTTGGATTCTCTACCGGCACCGGAAATTTTGTTGACGTTTTCTTTTAATTTCCCCATCATAACATCACCCAGGATCAGTGCGATTCGGACCAACCGGTGGAGGACGTGGCATCCATTAATCAGCTGAAACTCACTCTGGCCCAATTGCTCTTGCGCGTCAGCAAAAACAGTCCCCAGTCTTTCACCGGTCTACCCCGATCAGAGCAAGCTCTCTCGGTAGCAGACTATTTGGAACGCTCTTTACCTCCGGCATTGCTGTATAGCCCTGGAGTAGTGTCCACATGTGTGGCACTGTATCTTATTGCATCCAGTGGAGACGGGACTGATGGATTGAAGCGTGAAGAAGCTTTGAATAGATGCGTTCAATTGATGCAATCTACACTAAACTGGTTTGAAACAAACGATGAAAACGTGAGTTCGACTTGACTGAATCTCGATCGAGTCCGATTTTCAATGAAATTTTATGTGGTGGGCTTTCATTTCTTGTATCAACTCACGAACAATTTACTGCAGACTCCGCGGCTACACATGGGTTTCCCCTATTCATATTTTACAAGTACAACCATTGATTTCGCATTATATGTATGGTTATCTAGATATTCCTTATTGGGGTACAACGGTAACAATTGTAGATGCAAACAGAGAAATTATAGCTACTAACAGCATCTGGGACTCTATTCATACTTCGTAGTGCGATTTCGTTTGCTTTATTCCGTTATTTCAGATTATACCAACAGATTATTTTCTGAATTACTTCAGGATCCCATTTACGCCCATCTATTGGACCGTTGTGCTAATTTTCTCCTACAAAACGGTAAACCGGAATTGGCTGCAGATCTATGCGAACGGCAACTAGCCCGACTAGAGCGTGACTCAAATCCTGACGACGAGCGCCAATCCGCCGCTCGAATGGCTCTTATTGCACGCTTGGTTCGTGCCTATGCACAGTTTGATCGACCAAAAGCGGAGGCATCTTGCAGATCTCTGGAGTTCAAAGACAAAATTACCGAGGCAGACGTGGACACACTGGAGTCCGCATTCCTATACGGTGCTAAGGCAAGCCGACGGCAAGGTCGTACAGGAGATCAAGCGACCCAAGAAAATGTGAAATCCATCGGGAAATCCAAGCGTAATTTGCAACCTACTCCTGCGTACGTTTCATCTGATGCATTCTAACCGTTGACGCTTTGCACTGCGTTTCATACTCAATGTTTTATTGGTTTGATACAGTTATTTTGTGTCATAAGATAGTTCATCGTTGGATGTTGGTGTAGAAATGCATTTTTAAGTTGCCTCAACTGATTTCGATCTATGTCAGAGACGCCTAAAAGTAGCAGGACAAATTAATGCATCATTCCTAGTAAATCCACAGAACAAAATATCCTAGATGTCAGTTGAAATTGGCTTTTTCAACCTTTTCTCTGTTTCTGATAAAAGGTCCCCAGTCAATCTATGCTCTTATTCAGTATGATCTATTTCTTTCATATCTACCCGATTCAGTCCTGGCTCAACCGACGTAGGAACTCCAGCTGAGATTACTAAACGCAAACGTCGACACAAGAAACGCCCCGTTCGACTACCCAAAAACTACCAACCCGGTGTTATGCCTGATCCCGATAGATGGCTGCCACGTCGTGAGCGTGNGCGTGCAGGTTATCGGGGCAAACGGCGAAATAAGCGACAGACCAATCTGCGTGGTCCACAGGGTCAGGTTTCCGGAGGTGCTGAATGGTAAATATTCATGAACAATTTGTCAATTTTCAAATCATCTGTTTTATTATTATTATTATTATTATTATTATTATGTTTTACACTTATATGAATTCAGACTATGCGAGACAAATCATGATAAAATAACCAGTCCATGATTTGCGTGTAGAAAGAATACTACAAGGTTGCTCAGAATAAAGCAGTTGATTTTTCTTGAACTGTTCACAACCCTTCGGCTAGCCAAAGCTTACCCTCAAGGCGGCGGTACAATGTGTTAATATCTCATTTTATTTCCGACCAGTGCTCAGTTCATACANGCCAAATGTTCAGGGTGACAAGCACACTTCGATAACCAATCAATCCGGTGACCATTGCCAGAATCAGAACGGTATCGATTTGGTTCGTACACCTCGTATTGGTTAGCTTGGAATCTGTTTTATTTCTCCAACTCCCTCTGTTGGTTCACCGACCGGGTTATAGCCTCCACGTCAACTTCTCTTTTCCTCACTTTGGGGGGAAAACGCCGCTGTCACTTACGACCGTTTTACTCGAAATTATTCTCTCCGCTGATGATGGAATTATGGTTTTAACTAGACGCTTGCAAACATTTTGAGCGTTTCGAAAATGCCTACTAATGAGTAAACAATACCGAAACTGGAAAAGGTGAAACCACCACAATCTCAAATGAATCTATAGATCACGTGCAGCTGCATACCCCACAGCTTGATTGATAATTTAGTTACAAATCCTCTATGGGCCCGAATCTATCATAGTGACAACCCATTCTGGTTGAAGCGATTATTCAGGCAAAAGTACTTTGCAAATGAGTTGCTGAATTAGAGGGAAGGCCAGGATGGGTTGATGGTGTGAACGTGCGTCTCGGAGGTTGTGCGTAGTGCGGTTCATCGAGTGAGTTTTAGAACATAATCGACTGTACTTGATCTCGTTCATTCGGGTAAAACGGGTCTTCGCTAGGTTTATCAATAATCGTATCGTCATATCCTACAAAATAACATAGAAACTCATTTTTCCTTTAACCGTGTGTTTAGAACCAATTTCTTTTTGTTTACAACAATTCCGTCCACCAAAAAAAAGTTCTCGACGCACAGTTGAAATTTAAGAAACTATTGTTTATCTTGGCGAGGGTTTTGAAGCCGTATCCGTCGTTTTCACATCACGGAGGTTGTATATTCGAATTCCAGCACCGGTGCTTTTCTTTCCCATTTTCATTGTATCCTCTTGTATTGACCGCCTCTCTCTTACTTTCGATTGTTCGTGCAATTATATATTTGATCAAAAAAAGTAAAAAGGTCAATAGTTAAACCCAATCTGGCTTTCACTACTTTATCTACCGACCAATTACGTTACATTGCACAACCCAGCGAACAATGTGAGGTGATGCAAATTTAAATTTTTGGTGTTTTAAATGAAGAGGAGCTGGTGAGTTGAGACACGAATGTTTTCATCACAACGAAACTACACCTTGACGGATTGTGATAGCTTGCATGCCTTCATTACTGCGAGCTACACAATATGCTTGTCATAGCTGCATACCCAGTCATGCTTGAAACATCAATCCGTATGGACCGCATAAACCTCAGTTTCACAAGACCAACTGATTGAGCACCTTGCTTCCTTTAACTACCCACTGTCACTCCGCAGAGTTCATTCCAAAAAATATACACGAGAAAGAGCAGTTTAATAATAAAAACCCCGCTAGATGGACGTAGGAGCGGGGAACCTGAGACTGCATTTCGAGTGTGGGAGGAATTTTCGTAATACAATGGACAGCTGCCACCCGCCCAAGTTTGACAGACCCAAATCAATGAGGTGTTCCCCCGTTTGTTGGGTGCATGAGGCTACCTACGGGTCGATCATGAACAGTGGACTGTCAGTTAATGCACCAGAGAATAACACTGAACAGAAGCATGAAAGCTTTTCTATAAGCTCTTACAGAGGTGCTTCGGTCATACCTCTGCATTGGATGTACGCCCCACTACCTTGTGGGTCAGACTTTTCAGTATAGTATATTTTCACATATCTTTGAATCCAGACTGTGTGCCAAACAAATCATGGTACAATAATCTTTATAAAAAGAAAAACGTTCCATGATTTGCATGTGGGCGGAACATTAACAGACTGCCTAGGCCAAGGCAGGTGAATTTTCTTGAGGAATCCACAACCGGAGTCCTTGGCTAGCCAAAGTCTGACTCGCAAGGCAGCGGGGCGATGTGTGAAAACCACAGTTTGTTGGGGGTTGGTGTCCAGTTCATCGGATCATACGCCCTTTGGACGGGGTCAAACGTCCAAGGTGCCCAACACACCTCGATGCCCAATTGAGCCGGTGACCACTGCCACACCGAGGAGATGTGGTTCGTACTCCTCCTCATGGTTGGTTTGGAATCAGGGTTTTTGGTCAGCTCAACTAGGTAAACTGCTAATAGTACACCAACCCAGTTATAGCCCAGGATGTCGACTTTTCGTCTCCTCACTTTGGTGTGAAACACCTCCACGAGAAGGCAGTGAGTAGGGCTCCTTCAGCAGAGGCTATTCGAGACGCTTAGTCTTATGGGAGCAGTTCTCGAGGTGCAAGGGAGGGTGACCAGCGGTTACCCTAGACACCCACCCCGACCATAATTAGGCTTTTGGATGCTTGCGGTTCCTAAAGAAAAACCGTTCATCGGTGTATGTATGTCATGCCTTAAAGTTCCAGGGATCCATTCGGAAACCCCTTTCTCTCATATGACACCAGATCACACGGAAACCCCGCAAATATGACAGTGCGCAAATCTCTAAAACGCCAGTTCATCAAGAACCTGAGGAACGACCGAAAGAAGTGGTGAGTAGCAAAATCTAGAGCTCGAATAGGCTGCAGGTATTGGTTACAGTCGTAATCTTTTCCGTCCAATTAAGGATACGGGCCAAAAGAAGGAAGACGTTGGTGAGGTTGTAACGTTTATCGGTTGTCTTTTAGTTATGAGAAATACCGATTCTACCGATAGAGATACGCGCACGATTCCAGGCGAACCCAGATAAAAACGGCCAATTGAAGTCTTCAAAAGTACAGTTTTAAATTCATACAAGCAAGTACGTCAAATATCGTTGCGAACAGAAATTAACTAAGCAGTACGACGCGGGTTGTAGAAGCCACTCAAACAAGGGAGTATTNCTCAGCTACGGATTCGGATAGAGACCAGCTCGCGTAGCTGACAGACGACGATTGTGCAGAAATCGAGGTCAAAACATTAACAGGGGACTGGGTGGACGTCCAGTCAATGCAATGACCCACTATTGGCGTTTACCAACTTGAGACATCTGTGGCACTGCCGCGACATTCGGTTGTCAGTGAACGATCGAGTGTATGCTGCAGCAGTTCGGCCAGTTCTGCTATACGGCACAGAAAGTTGACCATCAGGAAAACAGGATAAATATAGACTGTCGGTGTTTGCACATCGCTGTCTAGGCAGCAGTGCCCGAATCTGATGGGGATACCGGACGAGCAATACTGAGGTGAGGTGGAGAGGTTTAGGTAACCACGGTCGCCCACGGGGGTAAGGTTACATTGTTTGGAGCAAATGTCACCAAATAGATTGCCTCGGCAAATATCGCGCACCAAGGCAGGTAGTGAGTTGAAAGAAACCAAAGATGGTCGGGCTAAGACCTTGCACAAAGCTACGGGAATCCTGACTAGGAGACTCGGTCATATAAATCGCGTTACGCTTCTTTGATGGGGACCTCTGGGTCATTGTAATCAATAATTTGAGACGCTGAGTGGGATGACTGATTGTCGTAAACAGTGGGGCTCGTGCGTCCTCTCAATTCCTTTTGCAACCTTAGTCTACCAGAATTCCCCGTTTTTTCTTTGACTCCTTTTTCCAATCTTTCTTCTATCCCTTCATCCGAATGGGCAGCCAAAACCGACGCACGAAAGTGCACGGTCAATAAGAAACTGACCAACAGAGAACAGAGAGTGTATGACAGGGAAGCAGAGTGCGGTGGCGAACAGGCAGAGGAGTCACCAGTTGATGAAGCCTAGACAAACGGTTGATAAACCGGACAAAAGTGCATTTGGTGACAGGGCGCGTAGGAAGTTCATGGCGTGTGAACGATGTGGACATAGGTCAAACACTGGGTGCGTAGTTAGTTGAATGAAGCAGACTGGAGGAAGCAATGTTGCGTGAACACACTGTGAGGTCGAGGATGACGAATATAAGGTTAAAGTAATGTGTACTCCAACAAAGATCTTCACAGAGACACCCTGAGGATGTTAGAGACACTGAGTGACATGGCTGGATGTTGCTCGTGCATCTACTGAGTATTTTCTGAACTCGTCTATATGAATTCTCGATATTTACTTTGACTCTGCTCTCAACATTCCAATCTTCATTCTGCTGTTTGTGAGGACTGAAACTAAGGATGTAACACAGGTAATTAAGGAATCCGACGCCACGCGGATTCATATTCAGCCACGTCGGCTGATCATTTCGAATCTCAGTTCAACAATCCCCCGTTAACATTGGACCACTCGATGCCTACCTCTTAGGAATTTGGAAAACGGAACTGAAGCCCTACCTTGACTG